AAAGCAGAGGGACAGACAGACATAGCTATGTGGACCCGGCAGCTGATACAGAATATATATATATATACTACATTTGGTGCCTCAATTATAATACCTTCTGGAAGGGTATACATGTATTTGCTTTTTGTGTTCAGCCAATTTGGGAGGTGCAGCGCTCAGCTCTCAATTTTCAGGTATTTCTTAGCTGAATGCTGTCTCCCCAAGGATTTATGGCTTGCTGAGAGATCTGGAGTGCTGCTTGTCGCTGACCTTGGCGCTACGCTAACATGCATACATATATATATATTATATGTATATATTTATATTCATTATACTCACACATAAGCATAATTATGTCCTTTCACATTCATTTTGTGCGCTTCATTAGCGACGCTGCAGCGCCGCAGGTAAATACGTCAACATAAATATTTATGCCGTGTGGCACAGACGACGAAGCGACGACAACAACAACGACAACAACAACAACAATGCGCGACAACAACCTCAAAACTCAGCCACAATCTCTGCAGCTGTGTGCGTGTTTGTCTTTTTTCTTATTTACTTTCTATTTTTCGTCCTAATTATGCGGGCTTTTCACTTTTCACGTTTAACAACCGTTTTCAGTTTTCAACTTTCGAGTTTAATTTGTGTTTTTTGATATTGCTTTTATTTTATTTTTTTTATAAATAATTTTTTGATTTAGTTTAAACACTTTTTTTGATTAGCTGCATTTGCATTGTAGTTTTGAAAATAGGAAATCAGTCTTGTGTGTGTTTTGTTTTTGTGGGGCGACTCTTTAACGTGTCCTGTTGCTGTTGCGGCACATGCGTCTTTAACCTATACCCAAGCATAACTATTGACAAACTGCCTCAATGTGGCCGTTTCTGGCAAATGGCAAAAGCGGCGGCAGCAGCTGATTTCCTGTGTCGACTTGCAGCAGCGCCTGCGCCTGCCACATGCCACATGCCGCACTCTTATACGGCGTTTGCGGGCAAGTCTACACGCCAATTTAAGAGCATCTGGCTTTTCGAATTCGAATACTCTTTTGATGCTGCTGAGAACTGTTGCACGTAATTTGTTGCGCCTTCAAATTGGCAACGCGCCGTGCGGCAATTAAATCACTCAAGTCGCAAAACGCAAGTTGCAAATTCGTCTAAACGTGCGGCTTGTGGCAACAACAACTATGCACAGTTGCCGCCTCAATGAAGCTGCAAAGCCAAGAGCAAAAAGAAACTTTTTAGGCTGCCTTTCAACTCCTCCTCCCTACATCAGCAGCTGCGCTTGTTGCAACTTTCAACAATGCCACATTATTCGGGCTAAAAGGCAGCTTTGCTTGAAAGCAGTTTTTAATATGACTAATGCAATGCGACTGAGACCAGGGCTGGACACGACTGCCACGCCCAGCGAGAGCTTGGTACGTGTCCATTGCCGTGCCTTTGGATTCTTTGATTGTTTTTTTCTTTTGGCCATTTCGTGTGCGTCCTTCATCTAATGCGCATTAAGCCAAGTCTACTATGCGGCGTTATTGGCATTTTTGATATTTGCGTTTCGTTTTGAAGGCCATTTCTATGCAGCCGCCGTAACGTGCCACAAGGCCCAAGCACCCAGCTTCAATACCAGCTCGAACTCCAAATGCTCATGCAACATTATCGGGCATCAACTTGCCAAGTGGCCAAGTGGCCAAGTGCCTGCTTAGACGGCGGGGTCAGCCGCCGCCGCCGCCGCTTCGTTTCCCCATTTGATTTCCGTCGAGCTGTGCGAGCTTTGTTATTGGCCTCGTCCAGGGGCATCGTAAATTAGCAGCGGTTTATTGCCAGTACGTGACATTTTGGATGTGTCCCGGCGTCTGCAATTATTACGCCGTCCATTCATTTGCTGGTCAGTCAGCAGACCGACCGCTCACCCACTCCAAACCATCCGCCGCCTCTTGGCTGGCCTTCATTCTTTGTGCGGCCTTTTGTGATTGTCTTTTAAGTCGGGCCCGGCCTTTGTGGCTTATGTGAGGTCACGCCCCTCTTGAGAGGCGCTGCCACTTGAGCATTTCCTTATTCAATATTTGCACAACAATAAAACTTTGATTGTTCCAATTGTTCCGGCTTTACTATAAACTAAACAACTGAATTCCCTAACTCCTCCCGCCCCTAAACAACTGCTCACATTACGCATACGACGCGTGGCACTGATTTAAGTTTATTCCCTTGAATGGCTAATGAAAATTCAGGCAATAAATGAACTTCATTCGCCGTAAATACAGCAGATAGAGTATTTAGCTAGGCGAGTGTTACTTTGTCGCGCGATAAAAGCACATTCTGATGCGTTTGACATTTCAAGTTTTAAACTTTTGTTTTAGGTTTAGCAATTAAGTAACAATTGTTAATGTAAAAACTTTATAAGGCAAACAAACCAACTGCTACATGATCTGTTCTTGCTACATAAACAGCTCAAATGTGGAAGGGCAAATGGGCGTGGCAAATGTATAATTGGAGACTTTCTTTAAAGATAGATATACATTCATTTAATAATGTCTATCAAAACCTTTTAGTCTAATCAGCAGCTCTTCTCTCATATGCTATCAAACCCAGAAATCACGAGTTGTTTTTTTTTTTTATATATACAAATATTAATCGACAATAACTGATCTATTCCAAGAATCTCCCGGTTCTATTATCAGCAGACGTTGCACTAAGCGCGCCTATCAGCGTCAATTTCTCAAGATGAGGGCATATAAGCGGAAGCTTATGAGCATCTCATGTAGAAATATAAAGCTAGAGATAAAGATATATATAGAATGTTTCCGTTTTTTCAATTCATAAGCTTATTAACTGATGATGAGCCAAATCAGCTAAGCTAATGCAAAACTTGTGAAGGGTGCAGCAATTGTGGCGCATTAAAAACACATTTTAATTAAATATTTCTCTGCGCTTTCTTTGCGTGTGGCAACTGCAGTTCGCAACGAGTCATTACGAATGCGCGTTGCCAATGGCTGTTCACTGTTATTTTTCCCTTTAACTACGCATTTAATAACTGTACTAACTGCACATCATCCTAATGAGCCAGAAAGTTAAAGCTGTAATGCAATCGCAGCAGCAGCAGCACTTGCAGCAACAATTGCAGCAGTTGCAGCAGCTGACAAAACCCTCGCAGCACGTAATGCGCTGCAGTTTAAAAGTATCTCAGCTTGTGTTTGTGTCTGTGTGTGTGGTTGTGTGTGTGTGGTTGTGCGTGCTGGGGCGCATTAAGAACAAGAAAGCTTTGCCATTGCAGTGCGTGACACAAAGTCGAACTCTGGGAACCTGCCTGGCCAACCCCCCGCCCCCACCGCAGCAGCAGCAGCAGCAGCAGCAAACGTGCTGCATTTTAGTGGCACGCTGGTGTTGCTGCTGTTGCAAGGCCAATTGCAGCTAAAGTTTGTTGACTTTGTGCCATTGTTTCGAATGGCTAAAAGTTAAGCAGAAAGCTTCATAATTTGGCTCTTAGAAATGTGCGACAGATAAGCAGCAAAACTGACAGTTCGAATTTAAACGTGTGCGTGGGGCAAACTAAGTATAGTATATGTATCCATATAACGAAGTTTGACGGGCGCATCAGCAGTTCATATTCAACTTTATATAAGCAATAAACACACAAACAGACACACACACACAAACAGACACACACATGCATAACATAATAATTACATATAATAAAAACAATTTCTGGCATTTTATGGCCGCATAAAACTGTAGCATATTTTCAGGCGGCGCACTAAATTATTTTCAGTTATTGTGGGGCCAGCAACAACAGCAACAACAACAACAACAACAACAACAACAACAACAACAGCAACAACAACAACAAACGCATATGTAGAACAAAAACAACAGCGACAACAACATTTGTTATCGAGCAGTTGTCGATGGGGCCAAAAAAGGAATTTACTGATGAATTGCGGTTTAGTTTTATGAGTTGCCACAAGACAACATACACTATAAATGTGTGTGTGTGTGTGCGTGTGTGTGCGTGTGTGTGCATGTGTCTCAGTCCTTTTATGAGCAGCGGCAAACAAAGCTGCGCTGCGCTGCGTCAACATTTTATGCGTCTTTAATGTTTGTTTGTTCATAAAAATCGAGGCAGGCAACAAAGTTGAGCGTCTGAACAAGGCCCAAAAAGAAACGCAACAAAAGTTGGCCAAGAAGCACTTTCCAGCTTAAGCTGATATTTTAATGTGCGCACTTTGACACTTTTAATGGAAACCCTAGCATTCATTTTCTTAATGAGCGCGCCCATTTAAAGCCCAACAAAAATATAAATAAAATAAAGGCAAAAAAAACGCGCGCCAAAAGAAAAAAACAAAAAACAAAAAAAAAGATTGACAAATGGCGAATTGTTTGCACTCTCATTGACAATGACATTGCGAATGACAATGGCGCAAACAATTTCCTGCTCATCATGGCCACATAATGAAGTTGAAGCCAAAAAGCCATTGCCACACACACCCACACACACGCACACACACTCGCTGAGCACACACATGACTGACGTTGGCCTGGGCCAAACAGGACGTGCAACGTGGCCGGTCAGCTTAATGAGCCGCACTAAATTCACACGAAACTTTTTGGCAAAAAGCTCCAGTGATGCTGTGCGGCTTGCGGGGGAAGAGCATGTGGCAACGGGTGGCAACTATTTATCGCTGATGGCCGGACAAATGTGCTGCACTCGGGCGACTGGCAGGAATTTATTGACACACTCAATCGAACGCTTTGATCGTAATCCCTTCGCCTTGCGCCCAGTCACCGGCCAATAAACAACAACAATGCGTTAAGAGTGCAGACGGGGAAAGCCGGCGCTTCCCTCTCCTCCCACACAAAGCTGTTACTAAAAGTTAGCAAAGTTCCTCTTCATTTAGCTGTTTGTTTGTGTTTGCCCAACTTTCCCCTGTGTGCGTGTGTGTGTGTGTGTGTGTGTGTGTGTGTGTGTGTGTGTCCTTGTGTGTGTGTCCTTGTGTGTGTGGGATAAGCGCATTAATTTTGCCAAACCAAATCTGCAATGATAAGTTGCGACTGCGAGTCGCAGTTGATTTTTTATTATTGTCCCTCTCTCATTCTTTCTAAAAATATATAATAAAAGAAACTTAACAATTTAACTACATAATAGTAATATGTTAGTGTAAAGTTTTAAGTCTGTTGTATAAAAGGCTACGCATTTCTGGAACGAGTGTGAAATTTGTGACAACAATTAAAGTTGCATTTGAAATTGTGCGGGAATGTTAAGAAATATATATAGATATATACATAAACAAAAATACATATGTACATATATATATAGTTAAGAACTTTTTACAATATGCTAATCATCGCCGGCAGCGCGATGGAACTCAAACACCTGTTGCTTGCTGCTGCCAGGCAGGCACTGTTCCTCCTTCTCCTTCTCCCTCTCCCTCTCCCTTTCCTCCGCCTCCTCGTCCGTAAACACTTCCTCAGTTGCCAGGGGCGCAATAGCTGCCACTTTTGAGCTCAGATCCACCATTTGTATATCGGGGGCATCTGCATATGTCTTATGTCTTGAGCGCTGCTCAGTCTTGGGCCGCTTCTTGGGCAGATGGGAATAAACCAGCATCATGACGGCAAAAGATATGATAACATAGCCTGTTTATATATAGTTTGTATATGAAAAAGAAGAGTATTCAAATGTTGTTGCATGCCTACGTACTTTCCATGAGTATGTTGACGATTCGGTACGTTAAACCGCGCGCGTCCAGTCGACAACCCCTTTTGTGGTCATACAGTTTGGGCAGGAACCAGAGCAGCGTCAAAGAGAACCATATTTTGACCGCCAGGCGATCTCTCTTCCGCAGGCCGATGAAGAGAAACACATTGAGAAGCACGTTGCCCATGTAAACGGTTAGCCAAACAAACGGCTCATTGTCTATGAAAACACGCAACCCAAAACAGCTGTCATTTATAGTATTATTTCACTTGGATTATTGGATACACAATATCTTACCATCGTCTGTTGTAAGCCGTAGTGCCACGCACCACATTAGAAAATATGATAGCGAGTAGTACCAATTGATTATTGAAATGCCAAGGCCCAAGTCCAAAAATTTGCTCATCTTGGCAGGCGGCAAATGAGTGCGTCTGTGTGAATGTATTTGTGAATGCGAATGCGAATGTGAATGTGAACGTGAATGTGAGTGCGAGTGGAACGCTCTTACGACATAAACAAACGCAAATCCGAACCCGAGACCGCTCGCCCAGAACGAGGGTTCAGCGTAGACTGGCGACCGTATTGTTTGGTCAGCCGTGTGAGAGAGAGCGCACGTGAGAGTGTGACAGAGAGAGAGCGAAAGCGAGAGCGGCCGAACGAAGAGAGCCGCCGAATGCGGCGAGCACGTGCTGTGGAACCCAATCCCAATGCAAACAACAAACAATGTTAGATTACCATTGCCAGCACGCCGACGTGCTAATGCCCTCACAAAGCAGCTAAGTCAATAATAACTAAATATACTGTATAAAATGTATATTTATTGCTCACTTAATATATTGAAAATAAATTAAACAAATGTATTTATAAATATTATAAAATTGGCATATTTTGTAAAATATAAATATTAAAATTTAGGGAAGTCCTTTTTGTATTTTGAATACTTCAATCAATATAAAATATTATAAAATTTCCTCGAGGCTTGTTGAGTTTCTTAGAATATCAAATAGTCTGTCTGGTGACCTTTGTTCAAAGATAAATGCAATCATACTTGCTTCCATGTTTTTTTTTTTTTTTTTTTTTGAAGCAAACACTTCCGAGTTTGAAGCAATATTCGAGTATTTTTCTTGTTGATTTTCACAATCTATTCCACATTCTAATCTAATCACTGCCGCCGCCTCCACTATCGTCATCCCCGCCCCCAGAATCATGGCGCACACCTCCGCCGCCGTCGACGACATTCTCACAAAAAGTGCTATCACCTGCAGAGGAGCTTGTCTGAAGTGCGCTGAGCATAAAATTGTTAAACGACGCACTCGAGCTGAGGCTATGATCTAGCTGTGGAGTTTCGTGCCACGTTCCGCCTTCCATTCGGGCAATGCTATTCCGATGAGCTCTTCCGACAAATGGTCTGCTTATTACCGGTGCATATATCCTGGCGGGCCTGGTCCTCTTAATTGTTTGATTTGTTGTCAGTATGTAGTTGACCGTTTGCAGGACTTGTTTGGGCGGCTTATAGGATTTGTTACCCCTTACTTTAATGTAAACTATTGCCATTACAATGAGTGATGCGAATATATAAACTGCAGGGGTGAATAACTCGATGTTAAATTTCAATAACTAACGTTAAGTAATTGCTGAGTAACTTACCATTGATAATTATATAAGGATACAGCTCATAGACAGAAAGTTCCATAAAGTCAACGCAAAGCACCCTCAACAGTAGCAAAACAATCGTAAAAGAGAACCACGATTGAATGGCCAAAAGGTCGCTCTTTGGCAGCCGCACAAAGAGAAACACATTGAGAAATAAATTGAGCGAATACGCTCCAATCCACAGCCAAGCCGTCGTGTCTGGCATTAAAAGATACTTTCGATATATAAGTGTATACGTATATATGCATATTGATGCCAGCTAACAATTAAATACAAACAACTCACGGTCTAATTCATCTGCGCACAGACTGAAGCTGGCACTGCCAATATCGTAAAGTGTCCATATGACATTCAACAAGACAATGCCAAATCCCAAATTCGTGGCTGCCATGTGAGAGCTTCCAGTTTGGCGATAAACAATTCTAGATCAATCTCGAGATCACTCGCCCGTAACGAGGGTTCAAAGTAGACTGGCGATCAAATGGTTAGGTTAGATAGGTTAAGGCGAGAGAGAGAGAGAGCGCGAGAGAGAGCGCGAGAGAAGAGCGCGCCAGAGCCAGAGAAGAGAGCGGCATCGGGCCTGTGGAACCCATTTAAATTGCACAAATTAAACGTTCAAAATTATCAGCTATTTATATTTTTAAAACAACAAATGGCATACAAAACAAATAAATTAAACTAGCAACATTAAAGACTTAACTTAACAAACACACACATAATATTTTTATATTTATATGACAACATAATATAAAAGACTAAATTTCAAGATAAAACGTAAGATATGGCATGTGCAATATTCTTTAAAGGCATATCGCTCAGCCTCAGCTGTGTTTTTTGCCTACAGTCAAACCCTTTTTTAAAGCACAGTGCAATTAACGATGATTGTGATTTGTAGTCTTAAAGTAATCACTTAAATATTTAACGAGCTATATATGCCACTTTGTACTCGAATGATTGCCGCTGACCAAGTTCAAGACCGCTCGCCCAGAACGAGCGTTTAGCGTAGACTGGCGACCGTGTTGCTTGGTCAGCCGTGCGAGAGAGCCCACTTGAGAGAACAGACAGAGAGAGAGAGGGGGACAGAGAGAGAGAGAGAGAGAGCCGCCGAATACGGCGAGCACGTGCTGTGGAACCCATTCACATTGAAAGCAACAAATACTGCAGGAATGCCATTGGCAGCACGCCGACAAGCTAATGCCCTCACAATGCGGCTAAGTCAATAGCACAATGCATATCGAGAGCAAATAATTTATTTGTTTATTTAATAAACTTAACAAAGATTACAATTACAAAAATAAAAAATTCATTTCATTAGTGACGATTTAAGGCACATTCTTCCATTCTTAAAAACTAAAAATGTAAATAGAAATGCTTGACTATTTGTATTAAGTGAACACTTCCGAGGTAATATTCGAGTCCGCAATCACAGTCCACGCCCCCATCATCGTAATCTCCGCCTCCACCATCGAAATCTGCGCTCTGGCTTCTTACTTCCAAATATAAAGTATACAACTGCCATTATAACAAGTGATGCGCCCATAAAATCTGCAAGCAGTCAGATTAGATGTTAGATTTCGTTAAACTTTCAATTGTACACTAACTTGCAGTTGGAAAGCATATAGAAATTCCCATATTAGTGTTTGTCAATGCAAAATATCCTGAAAAGCAACAAAACAGTCGTATAAAGAAACCACAATATGATGACATAAAGATCGCCCTTTATCAGGCGCACAAAGAATAACACATTGAGAAATATAAACGTCGAATACGCTCCAATCCTCCATATCCAAGGCGTGACGTCTTTCAAAAAAAGTGAAAGCTTTTGGTATACACTTATATGCGTCATACTTAAATGCATATAGATTCACGTTTAAGATTAAATACAATCAAATGCACCCAACAAACCCTCTGATTCATGTGCATGCACTCGCTCAGAGCGAGGCTTTTAAGTAGACTGGCTGTCAAATAGAAAGAACTCCAGAGAGAAAGCCGGCAAAGAGAGTGGCAAATGTTGTGGACCCCATTCTCAGTGAAAGCAACAAATACTCTAAGAATGGTATAAATAGCACGCCGATAAGCTAATGCCGTCACACAATCAACAAAACAATGTGTATCAAATTCAGTGAATATATTTCTTTATTTAATAAACTTAACAAAAATTGCATCGTTTGCTTATTGCTATTGCAAAAACAACAAATAATATAAAACTAAAAAAATCATTTGAGGTATATTATTTGGCTTCTTGAGTTTCGAAGGATAATATCCTAATAGTCTATCGGTGACGATTAAAGGCACAGTATTCCATTGTTAAAAACTAAAAATGTAAATATAAATGCTTGACTATTTGTTTTAAGTAAACACTTCCGAGTTTGAGGTAATATTCGAGTATTATTCGAGTTCCACATTGTACTCTAATCATCGTTGCCGCCACCATAATCGTTGTCCCCGCCTCCACAATCATAGTTCCCGCCATCGGCACCATTGACGCAGCAGGTATCCATATCGCAGCAGTTTTCCTTATCGCAGCAGATTTCCTTATCATTGTTATCACCGCGGTTGAAATCGAATGGATTGCATTGATTATCATCTGAAGCAGCGGTGCTTGGCTCCGGTGCGCTGGGCATAAACCTATCAAATGGCTTATTCGAGTCTGGGTACAGATGAGGTAGCCAACCCAAGCGTGGGTATTCGTGGCATGTTCGGTTTTCCATCGGTTCAGCATAATATAGATTTTCTCTCCAGCCAGTTGGTCTGCTGACCATAGGCATAAGTAATGTAGCCGGCTTGGTGCTTGTTTCTGTTAGATTTGTTGTCGGGTTGCTGACCATAGGCATAAGTAATGTAGCCGGCTTGGTGCTCGTTTCTGTTTGATTTGTTGTCGGTTTGCAGCTAACCGTTTCCAGAACTGGCTTGGCCCTTTCATTAGATTTCTTACTTCCAAGTACCAAGTAAACTACTGCCATCATAATAAGAGATGCGCCCATAAAATCTGCAAGCAGTCAGATTGGATGTTAGATTTTGATAAATGTTCAATTGTACACTAACTTACAGTTGGTAAGTATATAGATTGGCCCATATTGGTATTTGTCAATGCAAAATATCCTGTAGAACAACAAAACAATCGTAAAAGGGAACCACAATATGATGACATAAAGATCGCCCTTTATCAGGCGTGCACAGAGAAAGACATTGAGAAATAAATAGAGCGAATACGCTCCAATCAAAAGCGGGCCTGTTATAAAAAAGTACTTTCAGTATACACTCATATATGTACGTCATATACGTCATAGATGCATATAGATTCAATTAAATACAATCCAATGCAGACAACTCACCGTTTTTCCATGCACTTCCCATAGCGACAAGTGTTAAGACCATATTTATGAGGGCAATGCCAAGCCCCAATTCCATTACCCTTTTCATATGGGTGTGTCCGTTTTGACAGCTGCCGACCAAAACCGAGACCACTCGCCCAGAACGAGGGTTCAAAGGAGACTGGCGGCCAAATAATACCAGAGAGAACGCCAGCAAAAAGAGAGCGGAAAGTGCTGTGGAACCTATTCAAATTGCAAAAAGAAAATCGAAAATATTACAAAAACATAAATACTTAAGTTAATTTGTCTTTTCTTTTTTGTTCAATATAATCTACATAACATTTAATATAAAATGCTGTCAGTAGCGCTCGCAGAGCGATTATGTGGAACATAATTAATTTGTCAGCGAAAAATTTGAGATATGGTTTCTGCCGAAGTCCAAATACACTTGCCAATCAACTTGAGTAGTTATTTACTCTTGCAATAATTAACTTTATAAAGAGTATTGTATAAAGAATCAAGAAATTAATCATATTTGCAAAAAGTTTAACATTAAATGTAAATGCTATTTGCGTGTACTTTGATATATGCCCCATGTTAGGGCATTAAAACGTGTCCGACATGTGCTGAAAGGTGGAAAAAAATAAATGTCTTTCGTAATTTATAATGAGAATCAAGAGGCAGTTAGCACGGTTGCGCTCACAGAGAGACGTGACGTGCGAAACATGCGAGAACAATGAGCTCACCCATTGCGTACTTGTATACCCTGTAGCTCTATATCTTCAACTCGCTCTCTCGCTACAGACTTGGCCTTAGGGTATTTTGTGGTCGAGAAATCGGTTTGATTCAACTTGTTTTGTGTCAGCACAAATTGTCATTGCTGAGTTTAATTTGGAGTTGTATATTGCTCAAACGAGTCATGAATTGTACAATCGATTTACAAAGTAAAGTATTCCATTCGGACACTTGACGTCAGTATTTAAATCAGCTGGAGTAAACTCTACCCTTGAACTCTCTCTATTAACTGCCTATACACAAAATGAAGGCCAGGTCTGCGTTGCCAGAAGAAAAAAAATCAATATTTGTGCTGTCATACAAAATATATATGATAAAATTTGCACTTATGCCTGAAATAGTTCAACTTAAACTGAAGGCCAAGAAACCCGTTGAGCATACAATGTTGATAATGGAAATGTGGAATGTGCACAAGGATATCAGGCAACTATTATAGTTTGCCGAGACGACTTCGTCTTGATTTGAAATGCAATACGAAAAATTGTGAGATTTATATATGAGAAACCTTTGAGCGTGAACTTTTGACGTGAGATTCCTCAGGGATTGCAGACAAAGCTTTAAAGTTCTTACAGCTCGACAATTGAATGCCTCTTAATTTAATAAAATTATGTTTTATCTCAGCATGAATATAATATAATATTCGACAAATAATCCTAAATATTTAAACTGAAGATAATTTATTTTACATGCAAAAATATTATTTGAATTATTATATTATTATTAAGGCTTTAGCTGCTGTTAATTCAATTATTTAAAAATATTTCTCTTTATTTTATTATTAAAATGCTATCTTGCCTAAGCACGAACTTTTATCAAATAAAGTTTCATATATTCCTACTGTTCCAAATTTTACTCAAAGGGATTTTATTAAAATTATAATTTATATGTTAAAGACAAGGAATTTACAAAGTTTTAATTTATATATTCCTTATATTTTGTCGTATTTTGTCTTAGATCGAACTTTTATTATACAACACATTTAAAACTAAGCGCGAGATAGTTTATTTATTTGTTCTCTCACGGAATTTATTTATATTACAGTATTTAAAGTAATTAGTGTTTGTTAACTTAAAGCAAAGTTAGTTATGTGTAACTAATACGAGTTTCATGCCCTGAAATTCTACCCCAATTATATTTGTACATATGTACTTATATGTAATACTGACGTCTCGTCTTGTTTCCCTACGTTGCTTATATAGTCATTATACCTGATTGCACGAAAAGTAAAGCAATAATTAAAGACTCATTAGGGCGACGTTGAAGCTTGGCAACGACATTCTACAATCTATAGTTATAGCTAAAGTAATAATATATTTAAACAGATTATTATTAAATAATTTACAAAGTGCATTTGAAGCTTTTGCCCAACAATTGGGCGCTCAAATTGTACTGGGGCAAACTTATTGGGAATAGTTAACAGCCTGCTCACATATGTATAGAGTTTGGCATGAAACTGGACGAGGGTTCTCTCCATGGAGTTATGATATTATAAAATGCAGCAGCTTTGCCAGCTTTATGCATAACAACAACAGCAACAACAACAACGAGGCGACAGCTCAAAATCGTTGTAAAATATTTAAGCGTGTTATGAAAATGCAAAACCACAGCAACCAACAACAGTCGGAAAAGTGTATGTGTGTGCGTGTGTGGGAGTTGTAAAAAGTTTAGCTGAGTTCACTTTAGTTAACTGTAAAAGCAGCGGCGGCAGCATCAACAGACCTAGTTGATAGCTATGCTTTGGCTGGTTGCATGCTACGCGGCGTGTGGCACAAACCAATGAACCACATAATGCGGTATGCCCAACCAACGCACACAAACACACACACACAACGGACGTTTAAGCAAGCGTGTAAATTATTTGAATTATTTATGAGCAACAACAACAACAACTGGCTGAATGACAGCTACAACAACCGCAGCCAACACAAGCAAAGAGCTTAAAGCCAACTGGTTGCACATTCGCCATATGCAACTAAATAAACCATTCGCACTCCCTCATTGCCACACTCCACCCCGTGAAGTCAACTCGTTTAGCGACAAAATCAAAATCTTGCACATTTACAGAAACAGAACAACATTTTGAGGCATGCTTCAGCCTCCAGTCGCTGTATACAACATTTCAATCCCTTGACAGCGCTTAAACTGCGCCAAGCTTGGCCATTCTCCCGGCCATCGTCGTGGATCCTGATAAATGTGACGCAATTCGGCCTGAAGAGCCAAAAGTTTTGGTCAGCTGACTCGTAAGTGGTAATTCCCAGCTGGTTAATTTATTAATAGGCCGAGCAAACCCCAGAGCAATGACTGCTGTAAAAGAAAAGCGGACGAAAAGAAAACAAATGAAATGTAAACACAAAATTCGTGGAAATGTTGACTTACAAATTTAAGCTTAACATCAATACAGGATTAAAGCTTTGTATGCGCATTTTTCTTAAAAAAAAATATATAATTTTCCTGCAAATATTAGAACAACTTTAAATAAATTGTTCTTTTGGAAAACAAAGCTCTATTTCTGGTAGATTTATTAATATTTTTAAAGTACTTTTCAAGATCGGACTACGTTTAACCGAGAAATTGCCACTTAGAGTTTCACAAAAATATAAGAATTGAAATATCCCGGGTAAGAACAGTACAATTTTCAAATGATAAGTCTCAGTTGGAATAGTACGAATCAGGGCTATCGATTAGCATTAGAAAATCCGAATTCTCATTCTCATCACAAAAATTGCAAAAAAATCTTTGCTGTCAATTTGGTCTATAGACCTACACAATTTTACAATTTTACCAAGATTGGGTGTTCTTTACCCGAGATAAATATTAATATAAAACCTTGTATAATTACATATTTTCTCTTTTATTTTGATATATAGTATATGTACATGTTTTATTCTGACATTTTATTTTTATATTTCCAGGTCAAGGAATACTGAAGAGTTCAATTAATTCAGTAGATCGCACAATTCCAAAATGGCAAGCTCAGGAGCGGACTTGCTTTAAAAAAGAAAACAATTTTTAAGGAATAAACAGCGAAGCTTCGATTACTACACCCCCGGGCAAATACAGAATTGAAGCCGTTGGTTCCTAGATAAAACACATATCCGCGATCATACCATATCATAGATATAGTCCTGGTGAACCTAAACAGGGATTATTTGCAAAAAGCACGGATTTGGCCGGAAACTAGCACGCCTTTCTGTTAGCCGGCTACAACTGTGGACACGCTCCACCAAAATGGTTGCTAGTTGACCTAAATATCCTTGGTTATACCATACCGTAGATATAGTCCTGGCTAACCTAAATAACCGATGGTTCCTAGTTGACCTAAATATCCTTGGTTAAACCCTACCATAGATACAGTCATGGTAAACCTAAAGCTCCAAATCCGTGCAAAATTCGCTCGGAAGTGATCCAGAAATATGAATGCATGAATGCCCTTTCTTTCAGCCGCCCCAGCAGCAGCCCCTCCTTCAACCTTGGTTCTCAGATGACCGATATATATCCTTGATTTTACTATACCATAGATATAGTCCTGATGAACCTAAAGGTCCAAATCAGTAGAAAATACTATAAGATACTCTTTGTCGACAATAAAGGTTTAAAAATTAACTGTTGCAAAATTCCACTTTACTGGGCGCGGCCGTTGGCTCATATTGTACAAATCATAATTCAGTTGAAATACCAGGCGAACAGAAATGCCCAGCAGGTAGATGCACAGAAATTTTTTTGCAAAAATTATGACTTGCAATTTTTTTTGACAGTTCACTGTTAAGCAGCTGTTATTTAACAGGCCGCTGTTAAGTCTATGTTGGCTAACAGACCACTGTTAATAGCCCCTGTTACAAGGGGGCGTCCGGCTTGAACGGAAATTTGGCAAAAATACCAGGCGAACAGAAGTGACCAGCAGGTAGCTGCACAAAAATTTTTTGCAAAAATGATGACTTGCAATTTTCTTAACAGCTCACTGTTAACCAGCTGTTATTTAACAGGCCGCTGTTAAGTCTATGTTGGCTAACATACCACTGTTAACAGCCCCTGTTACAAGGGGGCGTCCGGCTTGAACGGAAATTTGGCAAAAATACCAGGCGAACAGAAATGACCAGCAGGTGGCTGCACAAAAATTGTTATGAATGCAAAATTTCATTGCATACCCAAACGGTAACAAAAATTTGTATTGCATAACCGCAAGCTGCAAAAAAATCAACGATTGCAAATTTCAATGGCATACTTTTACTGTCGCTATTTTTTAGCAGCTGGATTTTCTGGATCACTTCCGAGCGTATTTTGCACGGATTTGGTTCACTAGGACTATATCAGTGGTATGGTATAACCAAGGATATGTGAATCATCTAGGTACCATCGAGGGGGGTGGGCGTGCTAGTAGGGGGCAGCTGAAAGAAAAATCATGCATTTTTCATGACCATTTCGGTCATTTAGGTTCACCAGGACGTTATCTTTGGTATGATATAACCGAGGATATATAGGTCATCTGGGAACCATCGGTTTTGTTTGGCTGTTCACGTGGGGCATGAGAGATAAGGCACAAAAGCAGAAAAAAATTATTTAAATAACTAAATGGCGGCATCTCGGCCAAATAAAGCCCGATACCGGGAATTTTGGGCGCGTTAAAAAATAAATCATTTCTTAAAATCTTACTGTTTCTACCCGAGATAATATAATTATAATTCATGTTATTGTAGCTTTGCTACATAAGCAAGTTGATTTGCTAACATTTTACTTAAGGTGTTCTCCAATCAAGTTTACTGTTCCCCTCGGTATCGTTTAGGCTTGCTCTTGCGAAGTGGCGTCAACATCTGCCAAGCTCTTGCTGATGGCTGTGTTCAGCTACTGGAACTGTAGATTTGGCGGACAGGTTGTGCGTGATAGAAATGATGTGCTGGAGTTTAAAGCTTCAATGTCGATAAGTCCTTGTCACCATAGAAAATCTGCAAGAAAATACAAGAGTTAAATCCATTTTCCGTTTAAATAAACATAACTTTTATACCCACACAAGCCGTATTCCTCATGGATCCCGAAAGCTACAGCGAGGCATGCAGGAAAAAATGTTATGCAATGATTCAATTATTTTATAGCTTACTTTTTCTCTTAAAGCGAATGTCAATTTTGAATTTCGGGCTTAACGCTTAAGTTGGAGCCCCATTAAAAATCCAACCAGTGTGACGCCACGATTTATAGCAAATTAAGATCAGTTCATTTTATAGGACTGACATAGAGCTGCAACCAGTCCAGGTAGCTGTTAAAGGGCAGTTAATCGAGTTTCAATCACAAGGCAGTGGGTTTTACAGCAGGGCGAATTGTGTTCCTTTGCGGCAGATCCGAAAACAGAGCCTGCAATAGGAATGACCGTGAAATTGTGAATGATATGCTTAAGTTATAATTTCATTAAATGTTGTCTACAAAATTTCAACACATTTGGCTAAGAAAGTCATCACCGGCTTATGCCACAAGTTGTTTGGCAACGTTTCTTTTTTTTTTTAAGATACAGTTACATGTACGTGTGTATCTGTCGGATTGCTGTCTTTGGCTGGCTGTGCCATTTGGGCTGCTTGGCGGGCAAATGTGCTCACATCACGCATACGACCCGTCCCCGCTCCACGCACAACTGATGGCCGCAAAATCTATCGCCGCGTGGCATAGGGCGGGCAAAATGGGACTTAGGCTCGCAATATGCCTGCCAATTGCACGCACTTTTGTCGTTCAATTTACTTGGTATTGCCACAGCCAGTGGCAATGGCAATGGCAATGGGAATGGCAATGGCATTGGCAATGGGAATGGCATTGGCATTTTTGTGCCCTAAGTGGCTCAGTCGAGTTGGCTGTGTTGTGGCACGGGCATGTTGCACGTTTGTTTGTTTGTCTGTAGGTTTCGCAATAATTTGGTCTATTTGTTGGCCTGGCATTGAGTTTATTGAATTTGGCATTTGCATGTTATACGAGCGCCGAGCATGTGAAGACAGCAGCCAACCGAGCGGAGCTGCTGCTGCTCCCGCTGCTGGCAGTGTCACCCACCCAAAAGCCTCTTTATGCCAGCTTGAGGGGTGTCTTCGTCTGGGTTTTGTTTTTTGTCTATGTCGCTGCTAGAAGCTATTCAATTATCTGTTAGTAAATTCTGCAATTGAAGTTGTTTATTGTGCACGATGCTCCGCCAATTGAATTTGCTGCCTTAAAAATGCCAAAGCCCCTGCCCTCAGCCAGCGCTTTTCGCGTCTAACTCCATGCTTGGGTGTTTTGGCAGGTGTGCGTGGGTTGAAATTTAATTTCACAGCCAATTAAAAATGTTGCACGGTGCGTATGATGAATTTGAAGCTGGCTGCCAACAGCTGCGGCTTTTGTAACTCACGTGCGCCACTTGGCAACTTTGGTAGCTTAATTGCCAGAGCAGCCCCTCCTCCTCCTCCCTTGCTCTGCAACATCATTTCGAGGCAGAGTACCTATTTGAATACCGCTGACAGCTCACTTCAGTTTGATTTATGCTCGGACCGAGCGAGCAGCAACAAAAGCGAGCCCAAAGAAAAAAAAGGCGCACAAAAAAACAAAATGAAGCCTCGGCAAAGTGCAAAAGCAAATTAATTATGCACATTAACTTTTGTCGCCTAATGTGCCGCGCTGCAAGTTCTGCGCTGATCAGCATAAGCCAAGGCTGAGCTGACCCAAATGCCCAGTCTGAGCCGGTCTCGGTCTCCGTCTCGGTCTCGGTCTCGGTGTCTGCGTCCTTGCGGGTCCTTGCGCCGCCAAGTGAACGAACCGACATTGAAAAATGGTCGAGGCCGCAGCAGAAGCCGCTTAATTAGTGCGTAATTTGTAAGTCTGCGAAAAGGAAAACAAAAAAACAAAAATAAGAGAAGAAAAACAAAAAATAGAAATGGAAATGGCAATCACAAAAGTTCGCAGAGACCATAAATGAAACAATGAGAGGTAAATATTAATTACGAAAATGGCAAGTTTCAATGCAACGAAGCGTTAGAGAGAAAGCGAGAGATCGAGAGAGACAGAGAGAATCAGAGAAAGAGAGAGAGGCAGAGAGAACTGTCTCACTGTATGCACATATGACACAGATGCTTGCATATATTTCATATTAAATGCCAATTATATTTAAGGACAAAAGCACACCAATTGTTAGCTAACAGAGGAGAGAGAGAAAGAGAACATATGAGAGAGAGAGAGAGCGAGAAGTCTCACTTGTTTCATATATGACATAGTTTCATATCAAGCACAAACAAACTCTTGAGGCCCTCGCCAAAGGAAACCCTTTTAGCAAAAGGAGCAGCTGCCGCTCGTCCTTTTTTCCCTACCCTTTGTTGTTGCTACGCATACAAAATTTGTTTATTTTTAATTTCTAACACCGCTTTGAAGGCATTTATTTTTTTTTTTTTTGTATTTTTCTTTTCGCTTGATTGAGGTACCCGGCATAAACCGCAGTATTTGCATTATTTTTGCCTTGTTTGTTTAGGGTTGCGTCGCTGACCAATTCGGACTGGCCAGTGTAACCCACACAGCCTCACCTGGCCACGCCCTGCTCGTATTTTGTGGGCGTCACAGGTGTCAATTAGTGTGGCCAATTTGGCATGCATGGGCCTCAACGGCAGCTGTTGCTGCTTGCTGCCAAGTAAACAGCTGCCCCATGCTGCCTGCCACACTGTGCATAAATGCTTTAAATTGTGCCTTAAATTTTTCGCTCATCGAATTTGCATTTTTTTTTTGTTACATGCAGCAAATTTTCTGCCTGCCGCACATCCGTCGAGCACTCGTGTTGCATAGCTGCAGGCGCCGCATTCCGGGCCCTCTTTAAGGTCATTTTGGTCAGCGCCACTTTTGTGCTTTTGTTTTTAATTATTTCTGCACAATGCTTCGCCCATTTAAATGTTAATTAATGGAGTCGAGTTACCTCTGCTGGCCGCCAACAGCTGCAGCTGCAGCTGCACGTGCCGCAGGGCTGACTTTAAAAAAAATCCAGCTGCAGCTGTTCAACTAAAGGACACCTTTTACAGGGTATGCAGCTGGTTGGGCGGCACGCACATTTACCTGGTTTGAGCAGCAGCACCTTTTTTATGTTCTTGGCCTGTTGCTGGCGCCGGACTTTAACAAGCGGCTCGTTAACGGCAACCGCGCAATTACACTCGAAACGCTTTAAATTTTAAGTGCGGGCCCGAGTTACTGCTCGACTGGCTGACTGCCTGACTGTTGACTGCCAGCTGCTAACTGTGTGGCACCTGTTGGCAATGACGCTGCCGCTGCCGTTGCCGCTGCCGTTGCTGCTGCCACTCAGTCAACGCCACGCATGGCAACCCTGGCACATCCTCTGCGGCGTCCATTGTGGGCTAATTGGGCGCAGTATGCGGTACTTTGCAGCTTCAAGTTCACTCGACAGGCATTTCTGGTAATTGTATACCCTGTACACCCATTTAAATGAGTCAAAAGCGTGTGCATAATGCACTTCCGCATTTATAAATATTTTTGTGCCTGCAGGCAATGCGTGCTTGGCTGGTTTTCACGGTATACTCTGCATTTCAAAATAATTGCATTTGGGAAATTATAATTTTAATTTTTGGAAAAATAACTTGTACTTCCTTCTAGTCAAACTTTAGTTAATTTTGTTATTTTTGAATTTTTTGTTTTAAATTGTTCGTGTTCGTGTTAAGGAATCTATTAAATTTTTGGCCGGCGATGCGTCTGCTGCTGCCTGCATTGGCCTGGGCCCCGAACTGTGGAACGCTTGGCCGCGGGCAAAAAAAAATAAATCAAAATTTCTTTGGCATATTAATTTCATAGCTCAGCACTTTGGGCGCTCATTTTTATTGCCAGCTCTAGCACTCTGCAACTATGCGGGCATATGCGACTGGCGAACGAGCAGGCGACATGTCGCCAATAAGAATGCCACGCACTCTCAACAGTTTATCAATAACTAATATTTTGTATTAATTTAAATGTATATTTTCTTATCATGATCTCCGTCAAGTTTCGTGAGAAACAGTTTGTTATCAGTCGAAATATGTTTCATACATTGAGATAGCGTCACGAGCTTTTTCTGCTAAAGTGCTGCCAATATCAATATTGACAATTGAGCGAATGTAATTTGAAATATTCCCTTCTAAGACATGCTCACACATATTTTCAAATTGAAATTATCAACATTATAGAAGAGAGAGAGAGAGAGTTTCTCTAGTCCAGTGCTAAGGAAGTTTTTCTGGCCTTTTCTGGGACTTCTTGTTGACTTAATGCCTCGCATTGGCTTCAAGTTCGGCATAGAAATAATAATTGTGGCCGCCAGCGCCAATGAACGCCGTTTCCGGTTTTTCAAGTTTGTTTTTGCTAGAGCTTCCTTCGGGTTTTTTTTCGATGCTCGCCGCCGCCGCCGCTCGCATATTTTCCGCACTGCAACTTGTGCTGTGTAATTTTAATTTTCCAACGTCAACGCTACGCCTCAGGCAGCTCAGCTACGCGCGATCTGGACTCTGAGGGGGCAGTCGATAGAGAGGGGGAGGGGGGGATGCTGCTGTATTGCTGGTCAGCTTTATTGCAAGTGGTGTAGAATGGTTGGGGTCTGCTTGAAAGCTCAAGGACTCTGATGGACGCGTGCCCCCGCACCGAGCGTCATTTATTGCTCATATATTTCGTGTTTGCCACATTTTTGCCATTTTCACATTTTCGCTTGGCAAATGAAAATGAAAATAAGCAGAAGAAATAAAACAAAAGTGAACGGAAATTTTTTAATAAAAACATTTCGCGCTCTTCCCAATGCTGTTGCTGATTCAAGCAGCGAATATGCCATATTCCATTACCATATTTACCATTTCCCTTAAGAGGCGGCTAACCGAACAAAGATTGCCAAAAACCAAAAACCGAAATGCAATTCACAAGGATATGTGTCAAGTGCCAGTGTCCGAGTGCGGAGTAAGCAGCTGGACTGCAGCTGCATGCAACAATTAAGTTGCAACAAGGATACAATACACACACACACACACACACATGCAGCCTGTGAGTCTTCTTCAGCCTTCAGACTTCTCCAGAGAGCCTTGCTGATTGTTAACATTCCATTTTATGGCAGAGTGCAGCATTAATTTATCGATCAGCTGAAAATGTTCCGTCTGTGGCAACTTCAACTATGCCCATACCAAAAATGTACCATAAACTCGCACTTTATTTCGAGTTGATATACTTGAAGCTAGCAACATCTTATTGATTAGGCTTTTATTGAGATGTTCATTTTCTCGGCGCTGCCATCATATGGCGGCGGCTGTTTGAGCTCTGTTTCTGCGCCCAATGTCAGCTCTACGTAGTCCTTATATATGATATTCATCATGAAGGCAACGACATCTGAAATTCAAAAAAAGTTCAACTTGCAGAAGTTTTAATTAATACGACAATGTAGTAACTGACCGGCAGGCAACAGAGGTAGAAAGTCTTTAATGTAATAGAAGAAATATCTCCAGCCATGATCCAAGAAGGAGACAAGGCTCGCATAGACCAATGCGGTAAAAAATGCAGTCGTAATGCCCAGCCAGAAGAGCAGGAACTTAGCCTTATGCTGCGCATGTGCCCGCAGTACCCCATAGATCAGGGCTACAGTTGCAGTCAGTTGAGCAGAAAGCACAATTTCCAGTAGACCCCTTTTATCTATAAAATGCACTGCATATTACCAAAGAGATCTGCGATTTACAATTCCTAGCACCTACAGGGAGTACAAAAAGGAATCGAAAGCAGGGACAAGCCCCAGACTGAAAGTCCAATGGCAATTTGTGCTTTTCTTCCGTTCGAACACATTTCACTTCAACGAATTTAACACAACTGAATTCTGAAAATTCTGTTGCTGAAGTAAACAAGCCAACCAAGGTAGAACCAAGAGTATAATTAATTATTATTTGCTTAGAGGTGAATGCTACTAAGATACCCTGTACATTCAGAGTATATTCTACCTAGATAGATCGATCTGTGTTCAGATTGAAGCATCGATCAGCTATAAATATTAAATGTGTGCATATATACAAATAGATATATACATATACATTTAGATGAATGCTCAGACATATGCAATATGCTTAAACATGGCGATCTAACCATAAGAGGACTTTATAGCACATGCGCCTTTAAGGAAAATGCGAATTTCTACACATAAGAAAAGTCAGGGTAACACGAGAATGTAAATGGCTTTGTTGTCTATAAATTTTCAGTCGAGAGCATGCTTGCTGCGCAATTTCCGCAGCGATTGGGCTTGGTTGTTGTCCCGTGTTCCTATTTATATGAAATAATCAGCTCATAAACATAACACAAAAATTGTGGCTATATAACAAATCGGGTCAAGGGTCAACCTTAAAAAGTTGTGTTACTCACTTTCTGTGTGAATGGAGGCGACAGGCGGGTGGCGGGAAAGTGCGGTGTTTTCTCAGCTCTTAGAACTCTCACTTGTGCTTAAAATATCATCGATTTGGTATCGATATCAAGAAGAGAAGAATTTATAGTTTTTTAAATTTAAAGTCTCTTGTTGTATGTTTGCCATTTTCGAAACAATTAAGAGTGCTCTAGTCATTAGTGCCCGACTATGGGATACGCTGAGCATTCTTCAATCAACACCAACACCTAAAGAAGAAACAAGTAAGAGGTTCTCGTCGGGAGCTCCCGACTAGGGGATACCCTGAACCCTCTTCTTCCGACAGGCGATAGGTATAAAATGAAAAATTCTTTATATATATATACTATTCTAGAAGCTACATGTCAAGTTTGGTGACTATAGCTTATATTATTTGCCGAAATTGCGCAAAAAAGAAGATATCGATATCGATTTTTATCGATTACTTGGAAACGCGGCACTAGGAGGACCAACAGCCAAAATCTCTAGCCTAGAACCTATAAGAGTTCTGAGATCCTTGCGTTCATACATACGGACAGACGGACGGACGGACGGACGGACGGACGGACAGACGGACAGACATGGCTAGATCGACTTGGCTGTTGATGCTGATCACGAATATATGTGTATACTTTATGGGGTCGGAGATGCTTCCTTCTGCCTGTTACATACATTTGCACAAATACATAATACCCTTTTTACCTATTTTTAATTGGCTCAGGGTATAAAAATATATTAGTTCCCTGTACCGGAGAGTCAAACTCGCAGCTCTATTCAATCGGGCCACCGATTCGTAGCTCACACCCACACCAAGAATTAGTTCTCAATGCAAAAAAAATGAACTAAAATAGCAGAACATTCACAGAGTAGGGTATGCGATAGAATCGCAATTTGTAATTCGTGTATGTGTGCAGAGGTATACAGAAATTCATGTATACAGAAATTGCGGCCAATATAAACACAAGTTTTCTTAAATAAATTCTGTGCTTCTTAACGGATTTAGAAATTGTTGCCAGCAGTTGCTTTTCGTGTGCCATAGAATATTCACATATTCTGCAAAAGACAGCAGCATCAAAATTGTGGCTTAAATTCGTGAGTTGTTCTAATTGATTAATTCAGTGGATATGCAGCTATGGGGCGGAGGCGAAGGATGGCGATTGCTATTATATAAAATAAAAGATACTTCACCTGTATCTATACAATGGAGGTTACATATCAAGTTTTTGATGACACTGGCTCTTAAAACCTGAAAGATTTGATAAAAAATCAGGATTTCGGTATCGATTTTCGTAGTAATGTAGTAATAAAATAATAAGATCATATAGTTTAATAACAATATTCATAAAGTAGCCCATGTAAATTGATTTTACTTTTATTTTTGCACAGTGTATTCTGGCGAGAAGTTCTTCTCTCAGCCAATGGCGTGCTAGCACTTATGTGCATATATGTAAATTATGAGCAAAATATGTATGTTTATATATGTTATTATACTCTTAAGAATACCGATTTTCTACCGAGCCTCAGTTCACAATATATGCATACATAAGTGACTACAAATTTGGTATAAATCAGTAACAAATCTGCCTTGATGAATATGAATATTCAAGCACATGGAAACATGAGAGAATACATTCTTCTGGACTCTAGACGAGTATTTCGCAGTCGATTGCACCCGTCTTTAACGTTTGCTACTTGTTTATACAACAGATCAGTTTGCGAACTTAGCGAGCAGATATATTTTTATTTCTCTTTAATTTCTGCCCAATTGGAATTGTTTGCTTTAAAAAGTGAATAATGAACCCTCTCTTCTTCTATCTCTATCTCTATTTATCTCTCTCTCTCTTCCTCTCTCTGCCTCTCTCGCTCCGCCACCTCCTCTCTCTCACCCCATTCCTTTCTCTCACACCCTTCCTCTCTCCCTCTCTCTCTCTCTCTCTCTTTCACTCTCTCTCTTTCTCTCTTGCTATATACTATATCTACATGTATGAATCAGTTCTCAGAGCAAGAGCATGAACAATACTTTTTTGCATGCATCATATGATATTAAACGTTGACTCTTTACACAGACACACGCGCATAAACACACACACACACACACAGAGTGTTGCACTCTTGTGCCCAGGCCAACAATTAAGTTGCAACAAGGATACAACACACACACGCACACATACAGCCTGTGAGTCTTCTTCAGCCTGCAGACTTCTTAGCGCCTCGCTGATTGTTATCATTCCAACCTATGACAGAGTGTAGCATTAATTTATCGATCAGTTAAAAGTGTACCATAAACTACGCCCATATTTAGGGCTGTTGTCAACTGAATTCTCGCACAATCGCACTTTATTTCGAGTTGATATGCTTGAAGCTAGCAACATCTTATTGATTAGGCTTTTATTGATATATATGAGATTTATAATAAATATGACAATGTAGTAACTGAAAGACAGGCAACAGAAGTAGATAGTCTCTCATGAAATGGAAGAAATATCTCCAGACATGATCCAAGAAGAAGACAAGGCACGCATAGAGCAAAGGGATAAAAAATAAACTCGTAATGCACAGCTAGAAGAGCAGAAAATTGGCCATTAGCTGTGCATATTCGGGATGGATAAAGATGGCAATGATTCTGATTCTGCTAACCTCTTTGCTAATTTTTTCCAATCGACTTACTTTTCTGTCCGTCCTAATAGTAATTCTTACCCTTATAATATGGCTTCCTCTAGTTCTATACTTGCTCCTATTATTTCCCATTCCTCTCTCCTTTCTGCTATAAATTTATTAAAATCCTCTTACTCTCCTGGGCCTGAAAATATTTCTAGTTGTCTACTTAAGAAATTCAGTTCCTCCCTTCTCCATCCATTTCTAAAGGTTTTTAATCTATCCCTTGAATCTTCTGTCTTTCTATCTTTTTGGAAACAATCTTATATCATTCGTCTTCACAAGAAAGTTGGAAAGTCTGATAAAAAAAATTATTATTGCAAAAATTAACTGACTGCTAACCCTAAATTTTTTGAATAAATAATCACTGCGAATTTGCAGTTGGCCAATCAATTGCATCCAAATAATCTTCCGTCGAAAGCCAACCGTAGGACAATCCTCCGTGTTGTCTTCCTACAATAGTTGATTGTTGGTGACATAAATTCTTCTTTTCCGTCCAGACCCGCCAGGAATTATCGCCCCTTATTCCTATCGACGTGCACAACAGATTACGCTACGCACAATCCTTCTGGCGTGTTATGTAAAAACTACAACAGTTTGTATTCCGTTTTCTCTACCGAACTTTCTCTACCCCTAATAAAATCGTTGCTTTCAGGATACCTTCGGGAACTCACTGACAAGTCCCAGTTATGAGTAGAGGCATAGCTTGCCGGACAGGCTAGTAATTTTCTCCATCGGGTCGCTCATTTCCCATCAGTACCTCTTTATTCTTTCTACTAATCACTCTATATATTGAGTAAAATTTTCTCCACTTTATTAATAACTTCTTTTTTCCTAATCAATATAGTAAATCAATATTATTTTTCATTTTTACTTAAGAACACTATTTTCTTTATTGACATCTTCCTTATTAAAGCTGTAGGCTTTAATAACGTCACTGACAATATTAGCTGGTAAAAGGGATATAGCTGGCCGGACGGGCAAATAAAACACCTCCATCGTGTCGGTGATGCTATTAGAAAATTGTGTATTCTATCATTTAATTTTCACAATTTTCGTTTTTGTAGATTAATTATTAAGCCACCGCAAAAAATATTACCGCTAAGATCAGGGTTATCGCTGAAGACCACCAAGCAGCATACTCAAATCCAGGAGCAACTGAAGCTATAAAATACACTGCATATTACCAAAGAGATCAACGATTTGCAATTTAAAACACCTACCTATACTAAGCAGATTAATCGAATTTTCCGCGAAGAATATCATGGTGATTGCAATGCCAAGTGTAACGGAACTCCTGTCCAAACACATTTCACTTCAACGAACTCAGCCCAACTGAATGCTGAAAATGATCTTGCTGAATTTAACAAGCCTCGACAGAGTAATATTAAAGATTATTTGTTTATAAGTGAGTGCAAATGAGTTCCAAGTGCAAGAGAATATAAAAAAATAGCACACAGACACACACATGGACAGAAGCACACACGCCGCTTGCACATTCTCAAACCAATACCATTACCAAAAGAAAACGAGAAAGAAGGGCTATAATCGGCACGTCAAAGATTTAATACCCTTGCAGACCCTATCTATAGAAGCACAGGGAAAATATAATAGTTAAGGCCGAGTATGGCTTAGATATCTTGAAAAACAAAAAAGTTTTTCATACAAGAACCGATCGTCCCTACGGCACCTATATGATATAGTGGTCCGATATTAATAGGATTTTCCATGTATATGTGAGTATAGTAAAACTAATAAATGCAGAGTTGGGTCAGGAT